GAGAGAGAGAGAGAGAGAGAGAGAGAGGAAAAAAAAAAAGAGGAAGGAGGGAGGAGGGGGGGGGAGAGAGAGAGAAAGAGAGAGAGAGAGAGAGCTGGTGGCAGCCCACCTGAACGGACGCCTCGTCGCTCCCACTGCCTGCTCGAGCTGCCTCCTGCTGCCTGTTGCTGCCTGCTGCTGCCTCCCGCTGCCTGCTGTTGCCTCTTGTTTCCTCCTCGAGCTATGGCTGAAGGTGCTGCCGAAGGGCTGGTCCGACGACAACAACGAAAAACAGGCCGCCGCCGAAGGAGAACGGGCGGGCAGGCCGACGACGACAACGAAGAACGGGCGGGCAACTGAGGCGTGGGGTTGGCCTGAACCCCGTTGGGGAGGTCTGAGTAGTTCTGCTCAGATCTCCCCCCAAATTTTTTTATGGGCCCGCACGCGGCCCGAAAAAAATTTTGCGCGCCCAAACGACCATTTTCCCCCGGCAGCCCCCCGGGCCTAATTCCCCCCCCCCAATTTTTTATTTTTTTTCCCGCGACCCCTCATTTTCCTTATGCGGTGTATGTCGTGCGCGCCAGCTGCGCGGTGCGCTGTGCGCCGCACCTGCCGCGACGCCGTGCACGACATGCGCCGCAAGTATGAAAAATTCTAATGGCTAGAAAAAGAGAGATGGAATTTTTTGTATTTTTCTAATTAAAAATCCCAAAAATCACGAGTTTATATTTCTAATTCGTTTTTTTTCAATATCTCCCGATCCGCGCACTTTCACGTGAGGCGCACTGGGAGCAAAGTTCGTCCTCTCGTCGAGGCGAACGTTTTGAGATGTTTTTTGAAATATTCTACCGGCTAGAAGAAGAGATATGGAATTTTTTGTATTTTTCTAATTAAAAATTCCAAAGATCACGAGTTTCCTTTTATTTTTATTGCGAAGAAAAGAAGCGGAATTAGGGGAACCCCGCCCGGACCAAAGTTGGTCCTTGTATTTTTCCCGACATTTTGGGACCCTAGTCGGGGAAAATGGACTTCGTTTGAGCAAACGGCGGGTTGCAACAGATAGAAAGGGACGAAAAAAAAATCAAGGAAAAATTTGAATTCCTTTGTAATTTTGTTTAAATTAAAAGAAAAAGAAATTTAAAAATGTAATCGGATAAGTTTTTCTTCTAAACCTAGTAAAAGCTAACAAAAATTTTCTCTCGTCGAGCGGGGCTTTGCGGTGTGCGTGCGGTTGCGCGCAACACTCAAAACCCTAATTAGGGGAAACCCTAATTAGGGCAAAACCCTAATTAGGGTAAAGTCCTAACCCCAATTTTGAGAGAAGCGGGTAAATAGAGGGAAGCCATAGCTTCTAGCCTCCGCGCTTGTTGCGGATTATTTTTCGTTAAATATATCCCGCAAAATTGTGGAAATTAATTCAGAAAATTTTGCTTCATTAAATAATTAAAAATTAAATTAAAATAATAAAAATCAGTAAAAATTCAAACGGCCGAGATTTTCATTTTGTTTATTTTTCTTCCCACCCGTCCTTCTCACTAAGCTTTTTGCATACTGCAGGGTGCCGATGATCAGGGTTGCGGCCCTCCTGCCCACCTCTTCTCTTGGGCTCTGCTAACCAGGGTTTGTGACGCTCCCGGACAACTCAAAATTGGTAACCAGGGTTTGTGACGCTCCTGGACAACTCAAAATTGGTCCGGGCTGTCGCCCGTAAGCTCTAATTTCAAGCCAGCCCAACACCCCAACTGAAGAAGTTCCTAGCGTAGTTGTTAGGACATAAAAGACGGTTCACAAATAGGTCCGGCCTGCCAGCTCTCTTTGACGACTCTTACATTAGGACGGGGCTCTATCTCGTCGTGGTGGATGGAAGGGCATCATGGACTCTGCCGACAGATCCAGTAGGCTGGACACATGAGAGGGTAGTTCATCATAGGTCCGGGCAGGATGAGTGATTCTAGCTAGTTCAACATTCGTTCAGTGTGAAACAGGGACTTGTAGTTCTAAGGATAGTTAGACGGCCCTACCCGGACTTATTCATTAGGTCCTGGCTCCAAAGGAGCCACTTACACCAGGTATGAAGTCCGACACCATGGGAGTTCATAAAGATACGGGAGAGTATCACCCGTCGCCCGACCGATCCCTTCGTGAGCTCAAGGAGCGCATTCGACAGCACGCGCCTCTCGGATGTGCAGAGCGACCCGACGATGGAGAGCCCGAAGTGATGGGCGGGCCCGTCGTTACCGAGCCTGAGAGACCACCGTCGAAGATATGGATGGAGAACATAACGGAGTCTCCCAGTTTTCGGGGAGAGACGGAAGATCGGCGCTCATCTGCCTACGAGCGGAGAGACGCTAGAGAGCACCGACGCAGAGATGACTGGAGAGATCAGTGCATCAGGGATCAGGCTTGGAGAGATAGAGATAGCCCTCATGAGAGGAGCAGGCCGCCTCAACGAATCTACGATCCGCAGATGGGCGAGTCGTATACACTCCCTTACGAAAGGAGGGATCGATTCATCATCTCTCACCAACCGACAGAGTTAGATACCAAGCCACCCGTCTTCAAGGGATACGGTATCACTGAGTATCTCGAGAAGTGGGAGCTACACGCGAGCCGCAGCCAGTGGTGCGAGGATGAGTTTATAGTCAACTTTCTGTTTAACTCGGACCCGAGTCTGAACCAGATAATCAAAGAAGCTCGATCAAAGGACAGAAAGTGGACTTCCTATAAGACTAGTCTTTACGAACTCTTCAAGTTAGAAGACATCAGATACTCGATCGAGGATCCGGAGTCGATGACACAGGGAGAGGACGAGAGTGTTCAGGCGTTCGGAAAACGGTTCCAAAAGATATCGGATTCCCTGATCGAAAAGGGAAAGCTGTCGGAAGTTGATCGATGCACGATTTTCATATGTCGACTGCCCAGAGGGAAACAAAAGGGGATACTTAGGGAACTCCCTCATGATAAGCTAGATTTTTCGACGGTTCTCGAGTTGGCAATGAAAGCTGGAGCAGATGACTGTAAGGATTTACTCTGGAGAGGAATGCAGCGTTGGGATTTTTCCCTCTATCGCGAGTATGGGATCGATAGGTGTCCAGACTTTAACGATCAGCCATGGGCAGAGCGACGATATTTGATGGACAGAGACAGACCGCCACGACCTAGGGACAACGAGACGGTGATAGACGAGATGAGGGAGATGATCAAGGTTTTGGCTCGACAGGTTGCGAGGATAGAGGCGAAGACAGAGACTATTGGTTATAAGGCGAGGTACGAATCGTTGAACTCGCTGAGGTGCGATCGAGTTATGACTGGTTCAGCATATTCGCTAAGGTGGGATAATCGCAATTCAGGATCATGGAGAGACGCAGGGGACAGAAACCCCCGGACACTGGCCGATTATCGAGCGAGGGAGCAGCGGTATCTTATACGTCGCGACGATTCCTCTAGGTACCAGGGCGAGAATCGAGATCGACAGGTTGCCCATCCTAGAGACTATACGAGAGATAGGGACAACGAGTATCGACGACATGGTTGGGTGGAGACCTACCCTCAGAGCCCAAGGTATGATCGATGTCCTGAAGACCTCCCGAATGCAGAGGAGTATCTTAAGACTCTAGATAGGTATGACCATGTGACGGCGAGAGACCGACACAACAATTCCCGCGAGCGGGACGAGAGGGGAGATGTTGATCGGGACTATCGCAATGATGCCAGACAAGAGTCTGACCTGCGTCCTCAGGACATACGGGTATTAGGCGGACACGAAGGATATAGACGTGTAGAGGCTCAACCTTCTTCTCCTCGTAACACATGCGTCTGCTGTTGTTCGGATGATCATATCGGAAGAGATTGCCCTGATCTTCAGAAGGCAATAGACTATGGCATAGTGAGACTTAGGGACCGATGGTGCGTCAAGAGAAACGACGATCAGAGAGATGCATCCGTTTTTCCATCGAAGAACGACGACGTCAAGGTCAGACGAGCGTTGTCGAACGAGGTAGAGGCGATCCCAAAGAGTCGGAGTGTCAGGATTTTCTTACCATCGGTAGCCAAGACGCCTATAGTGTCCAACTGCGTCGCCTCTACCAAATCATCGTGGGATCTTCTCTCAAAGGAGAGGGTTGTCCCAGAGGATCAAGAGGGAGAGGAAGAGGAGCAAAAACGAGAGTTTGAGGAAGTTGCTGAAACAGTGACAACGCCTTTAAGGCAAGCGCTTAGCCAGTGTATGCGAAGTTCCATACGAGAAACGCCCAAGCGAACGCAAGATGAACCTACGATTCTTATCGATCCCGAGCAAGGAAAACCAATACTTTTGACCGATGAGATCTTCGCTGATTCTAGGTCGTTAGCGGACAAGCCCATTGCCAACGTCGTTCCAATCGCACATCAGTCACGGCCTCGAGCATTAGTGCGGACTGTACCACGCCCGTTTTCTTTGATGCGCGAGAGAGCGTGCCTCATGACCTCTTCTACATTCCTGGAAGTGGTATCATGGGGACTCTGCTTGACGATTAGGTGATTGCTCGAGGAGTAGTGGATAACGTCAGGGACTGTCGAGCCATGTGAGCACCGACATGAGGAGTCGCGCGTGTATGGTCATTATAAATCTTATACGATTTGTCTGTCTGAAATGATGCGGGCTCGACGGGGGCGTCGAGAAGTGGTCCGGGCTAACCGTAAGGCGGCCACAAGCAGTGCGCCGCCTGAAATCTGCGGCTTTGGGGCTTAGGCTCAGGGACAAGTCCGTGTTTTGACAGTACTCTGGTATGACCAGGTGGCAGAAATTAGGGGAGCTCAGGGCACCCCTGATTTTGGGCGCACTGAACCTTAAGAGTAACCCTCAAAGATGGCGAGATGGGTGGCCGCACTCGGCGCATCTAGGGACCGTCATTTCCGGCCGTTCAGACCCGGATTGGCCTGCTGCGGAGAGGCATCGCGCGAACTGACCTCGCCACAACGTTTTTGTGGCATACGACCGGGGCCGAAATGAGGCCTCGAATTTTTGTCTATTTTAGTACCATAATTAAAGATGGGGAAAAGGGATTAAGACCAGTAGGGAAGAAGGGAAAAACATAATATCCCTTAATTTCTTTATTTTTCTTTAATTCAAGGGGGAATACCCTTGTTATTTTATGTGTGTGTGTGTGTGTGTGTGTGTGTGTGTGTGTGTGTGTGTGTGTGTGTGTGTGTGTGTGTGTGTGTGTGTGAGAGAGAGAGAGAGAGAGAGAGAGAGAGAGAGAGAGAGAGAGAGAGAGAGAGGCTGCAGAGTAAGAAGTCTGGTCACCACAATTGACCTATCGAAAAGCTATTTGCTGTAAGTTCTCAGAAAACGAGTAGAGTTTCGGTTAAAACTCAAGATGATGTATAACAAACGCTCTCGTGACTTGTAGCGTGAGCTTCCAAATGAAGACCGGGTTTCGCGCAGGTAAGGGGGACTTGAAAACAAAGGTATTGACCGTTGGGATTTCGATTTTGGGAATGCGGCGACATCATAGCGCTCGATCCCACATGTGCCACTTTGATAAAAAAAAGGGGGTCTTCTCCTTTTCGAGTGAGGTTGAACGGTTGGATGGGGAGACTGGGAACATGTGGACTAAATAAGAACCCGAGGGTAGTATCTGGGAGAGAAGAGAAGGCGTGAAGATGACTATTGCAGTGGGCTCTCCCTGGAATACCTGGAACAGAGCCCGTGAGTTGACACACTGTTTACACTTGATTGGTGTGTTTGAAACTGAATTTGCAGTTTGTAGCTCACTCTTGATTGGTTCGCTTGGAAGCAAGCCAGCGGACTGGCTCGCTAATTACTCTCCCTGAAATTATTTATTTATTTATTTGTTTATTTATTTATTTATCTCAAGCATCGCACTTTTATCATATGATTTCGAAGTAGATCTCGTTACTCAGCTTCCAGAGCGGCAAGAGAGACGGCGCAGGTAAGTGAGGGTGAAAAGAGAGTAAATGATAGTGCAGATCACTTCAGGCAGCAACCGCTCATTGGGGGGTCAGGCAGCAGCCTCTCATTCGCAGATCAGGTAGCGGCGTTTGATTGGGAGATCAGGTAGCATCTACTCATTGGCTAATCAAATAGCAGCCACTCATTGGCTGGTCCTGCACTCTCTTCCCATTGGCCGATCAGGCAATGGCCACTCATTGGTTGATCAGGGACTCTCTACTCATTGGGAGATCATTCACATAGTGCATTCGCAACAGGCATTTCAACCCCCCCACTCCCCTGCTGGTCGCTGAGGACCTCGGAAGCGGGCCCAACGAGTGACAGGCATTGTTGCCCTTGGCTTTAGCGAGCGGCAGGCGACCCCTCCCCGGGTTTCCTCACAACGGGATACTTAGAGTAGGGGACCTCTGGGACAATGAAAAACACGATTGGAAGACAAGGGACTAGTTGCGATCCACCCTGCGGTACTGCCACCACGTAGAGGACTCGTTAGAGGATCTTATCGAAGCCATTCCATTAGAATGGTTCCGGATCCTCAGACGAGGCCCCACCTTGCGAGAGGGAGACTGGGTAACAACTAATGGGTCTCCGCAACAGATTAGTTTAGTGCACATGGTTTCCTCCTAGATGGTCCTAACCGAAAACTACGCCATCACAAAATCCAAGATTCTCCATGGGAGCGAGGGGCCCTTTGAATGAAGGAACAAAACTTCAGTTTATAGAGTAAGGATTATTGAGGAGAAGGGACAGAAGCTGGCCTTTCAACCAGACAAACCGATCCAAGACCTAACCCTAGAACCGGTGGAATGAACCTGGCTGCCCCCTCGGAAAAGGGGCACCCCTAAGCCCAACCCCATCAGCCTACGCGCATTGACAGTCAAATCAGCCTACAAATTGCTCGCCCCAAGAGGCAGCTGAGAGATTCAATTAATGATAGATGGGCCAGACAACTAAATATCGACCGCTTTCTTCTGTCACCAATCCAGTGGTTCAAGGAGCAAAAGCTAAGACCTATGAAAATCACCTCCTTACAGTGGCAGATAGCTCGTCGCTGTGTGCCTACCAATGACTGGTTAATCGATCGTACGAATCTGGAGCAAAGAGGCTTGCTGCTTCCATGGTGTCTACAATGTCAGAGTCTCTTCCCCTTCCACAAGAAGGCAGAGACCATCGAACACATCTTTATGCAGTGCCCGATTGCTCAATACATATGGAGGTGGTGGGATCGTATCTGGCGGAAACTAGAACCAGACACTCCCTGGCCCTGGTCATGGCAAGCCATTCTGGCCGAACATTGGCCCCGGGCAGGGACAGGCACACCCTACATAGAAAACATGTACAGAATTGGAAGAAGGGCGGTAATGTGGGTTCTTTGGTGGCAAAGGTGTACCCTGTCCATGGAAAAGGTACGGGTGGAGGGCGCAGAGATCACAAAACAAATACAACAGCAAATTCACATGGATCTTACACGCAGATGGTTAGACACTAGACTATAGCTAGACCTCCTTCTACAGACCGGGGACGTCAGAAGCAAGATCACATAATTCTGCAGGAATTGGGTTGGGGGGGGAAAAGAAGGATGGATGGCAAAGGTGATATGGAGCGGGGACCAAGGAGATGGGACGAGGGAGTTGGAAGGGATGAAAGATTATAGGTTAGTTTTTAAGGACTGGACCAATATAGAGCCCAGTGGCACGTTCCCATTACGCCCTCCCACAGATCTCCTAGACCCATTCCCCCCCAATGCCCTGGCCCTGGCAGAGCTGTGGTCTTGATCCTCATAACCCTCTCTTTTTTCTTTAATCTATTATCCCCCTTACCCTCCACTGACACCCTTTAAGAACCCTCCTCAGTGCCCCCTGGGGAGGACTCCTTTAAAAAAGAAAAAAAAAACAGCCGATACGGGCAGTCAGCAGGCGGGAGAGGGAGCAAGCAGCTGGTGACAATATCAGGCCTTATTTTATCCAAGGGAACAAACGGCATTGGCAGTCAGCAGGCGGGTTTTGGAGCAAGTAGCTGGTGACAGTATCAGTCCTTAAAGTTCCAATCTGGCGCCCTCCCCTTTGAGGGTGAAGAGATACAAAGGCAACATCAGTTTCTCCAAGCCTTTACGGGTCTGCTCAGTTAATCCCCTGCTATGCAGGACAATCAATGCTGGCAGACATTCCATAAGATGCTTCTGGGCTTACACATAAGCCTGCTCAGTCAATCCCCTGACTTTGCAGGGTAATCAATGCTGGAAGGAACCATGGCCACTTACTCACAGCCAGGATATTCCAAAATAATTATTTTCATGTGTAAGGGGATGTTGGACCCGATTTCCAGCAGGTGATGGTCCCCACCAATAGATGGAGCCTCTCCTCCGGTGGTAGTGTTGTCTGCTCTTATCAGCAGCACTAACACTCAAAGGGGTGTATTTGTAAAAAAAAAAAAAAAAAAAAA